CGTCGCGCGTCCCTCCACGAACAAGGTTCGAACGAATCTTTACAGCGGCTACAAGGTTCCCTAGGCTCAAATATTTATATTAATATTTTATATACGGCCGATGAACGTCAGGGCCAATGAAAACGACATATTCTGACCCCCATTCGTCCTGTACCCGCGATTAGCCCAGGAATTCGCCGAGTCGCGTGTCAAATCAAAGAACACTGAGAATGCTTAATACTTTATTTACTGCTTTTGATCGAGACAACTACTACTTTCCACCCTAACCTACAACAGGCATCCCTCATTCATTGTTGCAGGCACTTTTAAGCAGAATCTCGTTTTTTCATGACTTCACCTCGACATTTGATTTGATATAATAAATTTATAAAATGCTACATATAGTATTCAGTTTTGTATGATACATCAATGGGTGAAATATTTATATAAAATAGCTTTATTTCTTAATTTACGTATGTTTTCTCATTAGTTAGTTTCAAATAACGTCGTCTATGTCCCATCGGAAAGTGTCAAATGTTTCTAGTGAAAAGCTTCCGAGTGCAAAGGGTTAATTGCAAAATAATATGAAGATTTGGCTAAAGTGTCATTTGTACATTAAAGTAAAGACTATAATAAACATTTTAGAATTTTTTTTAGACCTCTACAGGATTCACAACAATGGTAAATCAGGTCAAACCGTAAAAGGTCCGTATCACCGATCACGTTAATGAAAAAGCAAGGCGTAAGGAGTATATACTTTTAATTGCAAAGTTTGTAACTTTAAAATCAAAGTACAAGGGGATCTCGTTATATTATTCTGATTTCTTTTGTTTTAAAGCAGAGTAATTTTAATAGACTATATATTGTTAAGCATTTGCAATGGAAAAGCCGGTTAACACGCTTGCAGTAGATAAAGTGTTAAGTGCTCCGATCTAAGTTAGTCAAAATTTGGTTCCTCTCGTTCGATGAACTTAAGTTCAGAGAAAGTTCTGTCGGTTTCTGTAATATGTCTTTTAGTAAAACAAACCAAACCATACGAAAATAATCATTTCACCTTAAGATCGCCGCGTATGTTACTTCAAAGAAAATGGAAAAAAATCGAAGCGGCCACATAGACTTCTTCACTGGAAAAGCTGTGTTCATTGTTTGACAACTGATCCATCGAATATTTCTGAAAGAATTTACTGATAATGGTTTATTAACACTAAAACTAGCGAGCAGTTAAATCGCCTATTGGACATTGCTCTATAGAAACTGCAAGAGTGCATCTATTAAGACTTCAATTCATTCGCAATTCAGTTCGCGTATTGCTGAATCAATTTCTCTAATAATTTCTCAGAGAAACATCTGTTATCTTTTCACTAATTGCGGAAGAAAGAAAACAGGAATGCCTCATTCTGATCCGTCTGGTAGTTTTAGTGTTAAACGAAAACGATAGAACTTCGTGCTCAATTTTATATCGCGTTACGATATAAAACTCAAACGAAATTGACAGAACTTTCTAGCCAAAGAAGTTTTGTATCGTGCCTCGATGCTTGCAACGTGTTTGATCTCCTCGCTAGCAAACGATTTAATTTCCGTTAACGAAGCACACCGTGTGCCACGATTGGACCGCGATTGCTTCTCGTTCGACCATCGCTCGTCCTCGGTTCCCCGCGACGTCTCCCTTGTTCCGACATATCAAATCGAAGAAACGTGTCGCTCTTCGTTCCTCGAGCCGCTGATTACGGTCGCGGAGACAGAAGAAAAGAGAGAAAAAAAGATTAAAGAAAAACCAGCAAAAGCAGAGAAAAGCGAGCAAAAAAAGAAAGAAAGAAAGAGAAGCATTTTTCGACGATAAGTCGCGATCAACGGATCGATCCGCGAAGTCGAGGTATTTATGAATGATAGAAGAAGCTCTAATTCAGGGTTTTATCGAAATGTAAACATTGTTGTTCTCAAATGGACTGTTAATGTTTGTACAGAGTTTATTAACAACCGTGCTCCAACACGGAGAACACACTCCTTCGAAACGTTGACGATCGATCCTCGATCTTCGATTGTGTTCTTCTTCTCTCTCTATTGAAAACGGTTCATGATCGTTTTTTTCTCATCCTTAATATTTCTTCTTCTTCTCCTCCTCCTACTTCTACTTCTACCTCTTCTTCTCCTTCTTCTTCTTCTTCTTCTTCTTCTTCTTCTTCTTCTTCTTCTTCTTCTTCCTCCTCACATCGACACGATCTGCCTTCACAACCCCTATCATCGTCTCGTCATCACCGGACTGTCTTTTCCTTCATCTTAACCCTTACGCTGGCAACCAAAGTATACAAACACGAGTGAGTACACACTTTGAAACTTTCTTCCACGAAGTGCTGTTCCGTTCTCGTGAAAGTTTGACGAATGTGAATCGAGTCTCCACTTTTTCAACATTTTTACGTCGACCCTTGCTTCGACAGTAAGGAATTCGGGCAGAAATGCTGCGACACTACTGTTTCGATAGACGTTTTGGCTGCCAACGTACGGAGTTGACCCCACGCGGAACAGTGACCGGCATTCGGCCGAGTTATACAAATCTTCAAACGATGCAGGGTCGATGCGAAACCGCTGCCGGTTGTTTGTAATGAAAGGTAGTGTTTTACGATGAAATTGTTGCGTCGACTTGATCCTAAGCATTTGCCCGGCAACGATCCCGTTGGACACGCGCCGACGGATGAAACCTCGCGATTTGGGAAATAGAACAATCACCGGACGATGAGGGGTCACGAGAGTTTCGGGAGTCTTCCTCGCAAACACGTTGGATCGTATGCATGAAAGGAAGAATTCGTTTCAGCCATTGAGTGCCAGAGATTTTTTCCATACATACGCGAAGAAATACAATAAAAAAATTTTTAATCGTGAAGTAAATGTTTGTAGTATTTACATTGAAAGATAAGAAATCGATCATTTGCTTTTACTTGTAAACACGTTGACTGTCACGAGAAGTTCGAACTTTTTGTGTAATGACACTTATTCTTTCGTAACAAAGGCAAATGATATTAGGAATCGTCGTTAGCGATTTAGTATCACAGTACTTATATTGCATTATTATCCAGTTACTTACGTTACCAAATATTTTTATTCAACATCAATTTTCTTACTGTAATTGTTCTCAATTTGGAAGCTCCAGTCATCGATAGCCACCGTAGTCAACGTGTTAACACAAGTTAGGCGATAAATGTTTCTTATTCTAAACAGAAAGAAAAGGAAAGACAAAAATTGAAAAACATTAACCCATTCGTAGTCATTTCGTATATTTCATAGACAAAATGCGCTTAGGAGATGCAGTATAGAAATAATCCAAAAAATATTTGGAAGCTGACTGGTTGGTATGATGGTATGGTATTACAGAGAAAAACGAAAAATATATACTATTTACTATTTTCAATTATATTAATATAATTCATTATTATTAAGCATTTACTATTTTTCATGCATACGACCCATTGCGTTACTTTATTTTCGTTATACTCACCGTTGCACAATGTCCGCGGTCTAAATCAAAATTCATGAATACTTTCGACTTTGATTTTCTTTCCCATTAATTCAGTGCCTTTTCGAGAGTATAAAAAACTGATTTCGTTCGTTGAGAGTTTCGTTTGAATCCTAGAAAATTCGAAAAGTTTAACGAACGTTTAGTTTTATTTTGTGTACCGGCGTACCGCTGTGAACGCGTAGAATTCGAGTGGTTCAACGGGATCGTCCGCGCGAATCGAACGAATTAGATAGCCCTTCGGACCTCATAGCCTATTCTATACCTATAAATTTTGTACCTCTTCGTACACGATTATACTTAAACTTAAAAATCGATCCTTCGTATACACACGAGTAAATCTAACCACACATTACAGAGACGCGCACGTAACACACGCATACACACGTGTATATAATTACATATACATTCTATACATTATGATATATTATAGATACCATTACGAGAGAATTTTACACTCTATACTATACATTTTTTGTCATAAACGCAGACTACTTGAATCCATACTTATGAAAACTTATTCAGGTTTTTTCTATCGCCAACTTACTATGGGACTAATATCGCTGAATTCTCACTACAACTCCGTAATTATATTTGTAAATTATCCATCGTGGACGATATGTAACTCTGCATTCGTTTCGCGCAAAGTGATCCACGAGGATCAGGTGCCTGGATCGATCGGGTTTATTCACGGTCGATTGAAGGCGCGGCAGAGTTTCGAAAGGTTGCGGCTTCGTCGATTCTCTGGTTAGACGAGATATGAAATTGTTGTAAGAATGAATTGTATTTATTTCAAGGACTAAAATCGAATAAAACTGTTGCCGAAATACTTCGAATTCGAACGGTTGTCGTATGAATAAACGCATGAACTTTTGATTTTTGGATTGTTCCTGGCAATACCCGCAATAACGCGAATCGCTCTCAATGGAGGTGTATTATTGACCCGGCTGTACTATAATATCTGTAACATGTCGGCGATAATGCGATACGCTGCATTTAGTGACCTATAATTTTAGGCAGATCGCCAAGTGCGTCTGGATCCCATAGTTTGTCGTCCACAAGTCTCGGATGCGGACTCCACTAACAGCACGTTAATCCAGATTTAATGGGCCACAGTTTCGAACAGCTAACTATTTTTCTTTATAGGTTGCGCCCAAAAATAAGGTTAACCAATTTGGGACCTGTCAGAGAATGGAATTCAGAAATAAGAAACGATTTGAACGAATAAGTTATATTATAACAAATTATCACGTTCAACTATTATATACAATTTAAAATGCGTACATATGACATTCACCGACCATCGATGGACACAAACAGAATTTAATGACACGAAGGGAACCAGTGGAATTTTTAAAACGCGTTTAACTCGATATTAAAAAGAAAAACAGACACGCGACGTGTCTGAGAAATGGTAAAACAATCAATTACCACGAACAATGCTCACAAGTTTTTACTTATCATATTATCTTCGAGGATTTTCTAAAAATATTTAAACCGA